TGTAAGAGCCTTTTGATACGAAATGATAACACAAGAAGAGTAATGTAGTTTTCTCTTTATTACCTAATGATACCCTTTGAGATAGTGGTGTTAAACGCAACATAATAATAACAGAGTATTTGTGATAAATGGGATATACGTTGCATTGTGTACTTGAAGTGCCTAGACTACTAATACAAGTCGTGTGCACATAGAACCTACGTTTGCTAGGTTATGTTTCGTTACTACAGTACGAGCACATGTTTGACGGCTACTCTCTTAACAATCTTGAATATTAATCTTATACGCAACTGAAACACTTTACACAAGGCTTGATGACGCATCGAGGAAGTAATGATAGTTTAAGACTGATGCATTTCACATAAGTATTAATACGCTGCCTATCATTCTCGTTAACTCTGCAATGTCCTCAAAATGATAAGTGAAATAGACAAAGTTAGTCGACATAAATGCATATATTTGTAAGGAAACAATAATCAATCAAGTTAAAAATGACTCAGAATGAAAGAGTACATATATACACTGAAAAGAGTTAATAACAATCCATTGAAAAAATCGCAGTTGTAGAGTTTTTATAGCTGCATCATAGTCATCATAAAGTCTCTATCCGCAACATGTGTCAGTTTGCCTCCGTTGTTAGTGGTGTTGGACCAGTCTTTGCAGTTTTCGTCACCACCAGTTTCGTTCGCAGAAACTGGATGTGAACTTTCCAAGCAGAGATTGAGATTGTATTCCTTCGAATGCCTTCGGCCGTATTGAGAAATATCTGAAGATGTATACATATCAGGTAAATTAATCTTACCTTTGGTGAACAATTCCTAATCTTAGCCACAGTGAATATGTGAACCAGGCAAGGAACAACCACAGAGTTGGTGAAATTCTATATATTAGTTGCCCATATATTCCACGGTAGATTTCAGGAATCGTGTAACTTCCAAATCACCTGTCACACTTTCTCTTCCATAAAAAGCAAATATTATACAAGTGACTCCTATCCATCCGTTACAACTAACTAAAAGAGATAAAATCTTCAAACTTTGCACTTCTTCGATTAAGTTATCCAGTAGTATTCTCCTTGTTAGTGGATCTAATGCTTCTTACATCTGTGAAATTTATAAGCATGTTAACTTGTTCCCTTAAGCTAAAAAATATAATGTCTATCCGCTTTTATTATTGCTATTTCAAAGCCCGCCTCAGTACCGTAAGGCACGTATTAGCCGCAACGTTTATGCAAGGGAAAATCTACCAATCACAGTGTGCGTAAGTGACCTTCAAGTGCTCAGCCTCTCCAGAAGCCATTTGTTCCGCTATCCTTTCTCCACCTATAAGGATAGGATAGAGGCACAAATCAGCTGATTGCTGCAGTTTTAAGGTGTTATCGTGGTGTTGTGTTTGGGTTATTCTGCCTTGTTTTTAGTGTTTTTTTCGACAGAAATGCATTTCAAAAATCGTATTTTAACGAAAAAACGTGTAAAAAGTGAGAAAAATAATCGTTTTCCTTGTGTTGACGAAATGCTGTCTTTTCATCGAATTGACATCCCGATGTGCATAAGAAATGAAATAATTCATTGGAAAATGTCAATTATGATAGAAAATGCTAAATTATTCTTGTTTTTAAAGTTTATTTTTAACGTATATGATGAGAAGGGGGTTTAATATCGAGGTAGTTATGATTTCATGATTTTTACCAAATTGCACAGTAATAATGGAAATTGAGTTGGTTATTTCGTCAGATAACGGTGAAGAGATAGTCATCTAACTTGATATATGTTTATTTATTTAACTCATCACATCATGACTGAATTTTTACTTTTAATTTCCAGATTATGGTCTTCAATCCCGCAATCACTCAATACATTCAGACATTCTAATTGGGATTAAAAACGATAGTATTTGTGTAAATGATGAGATATTTGAGATATCACTAATGTATTTACCGAAATAAATATTGTTGTAAAAGTTCTGCTCTATCAATACTTTGTGTTTGACGAGTTGCAAAGTGATGCCAGTGTAGGGGACGTAATATTCGTAAAATGGCATATTCACACGTTGCCGAATTTGGTCACGATGGGGTACTGTTATCGCTTTTGAGTAATTGCTTTCGCTAGTAAATCTTAAATAGACGTTATGCACAACAAAAGCCTACTTAATGCGTCACAGTATTTCATGATAACAAAATAATCAACGAAGTTTAGTGACGTAGTCAACTAATGCACGAGTCTAAGCGTTGGTGTGATCATGTAAGAGCCTTTTGATACGAAATGATAACACAAGAAGAGTAATGTAGTTTTCTCTTTATTACCTAATGATACCCTTTGAGATAGTGGTGTTAAACGCAACATAATAATAACAGAGTATTTGTGATAAATGGGATATATGTTGCATTGTGTACTTGAAGTGCCTAGACTACTAATACAAGTCGTGTGCACATAGAACCTACGTTTGCTAGGTTATGTTTCGTTACTACAGTACGAGCACATGTTTGACGGCTACTCTCTTAACAATCTTGAATATTAATCTTATACGCAACTGAAACACTTTACACAAGGCTTGATGACGCATCGAGGAAGTAATGATAGTTTAAGACTGATGCATTTCACATAAGTATTAATACGCTGCCTATCATTCTCGTTAACTCTGCAATGTCCTCAAAATGATAAGTGAAATAGACAAAGTTAGTCGACATAAATGCATATATTTGTAAGGAAACAATAATCAATCAAGTTAAAAATGACTCAGAATGAAAGAGTACATATATACACTGAAAAGAGTTAATAACAATCCATTGAAAAAATCGCAGTTGTAGAGTTTTTATAGCTGCATCATAGTCATCATAAAGTCTCTATCCGCAACATGTGTCAGTTTGCCTCCGTTGTTAGTGGTGTTGGACCAGTCTTTGCAGTTTTCGTCACCACCAGTTTCGTTCGCAGAAACTGGATGTGAACTTTCCAAGCAGAGATTGAGATTGTATTCCTTCGAATGCCTTCGGCCGTATTGAGAAATATCTGAAGATGTATACATATCAGGTAAATTAATCTTACCTTTGGTGAACAATTCCTAATCTTAGCCACAGTGAATATGTGAACCAGGCAAGGAACAACCACAGAGTTGGTGAAATTCTATATATTAGTTGCCCATATATTCCACGGTAGATTTCAGGAATCGTGTAACTTCCAAATCACCTGTCACACTTTCTCTTCCATAAAAAGCAAATATTATACAAGTGACTCCTATCCATCCGTTACAACTAACTAAAAGAGATAAAATCTTCAAACTTTGCACTTCTTCGATTAAGTTATCCAGTAGTATTCTCCTTGTTAGTGGATCTAATGCTTCTTACATCTGTGAAATTTATAAGCATGTTAACTTGTTCCCTTAAGCTAAAAAATATAATGTCTATCCGCTTTTATTATTGCTATTTCAAAGCCCGCCTCAGTACCGTAAGGCACGTATTAGCCGCAACGTTTATGCAAGGGAAAATCTACCAATCACAGTGTGCGTAAGTGACCTTCAAGTGCTCAGCCTCTCCAGAAGCCATTTGTTCCGCTATCCTTTCTCCACCTATAAGGATAGGATAGAGGCACAAATCAGCTGATTGCTGCAGTTTTAAGGTGTTATCGTGGTGTTGTGTTTGGGTTATTCTGCCTTGTTTTTAGTGTTTTTTTCGACAGAAATGCATTTCAAAAATCGTATTTTAACGAAAAAACGTGTAAAAAGTGAGAAAAATAATCGTTTTCCTTGTGTTGACGAAATGCTGTCTTTTCATCGAATTGACATCCCGATGTGCATAAGAAATGAAATAATTCATTGGAAAATGTCAATTATGATAGAAAATGCTAAATTATTCTTGTTTTTAAAGTTTATTTTTAACGTATATGATGAGAAGGGGGTTTAATATCGAGGTAATTATGATTTCATGATTTTTACCAAATTGCACAGTAATAAAGGAAATTGAGTTGGTTATTTCGTCAGATAACGGTGAAGAGATAGTCATCTAACTTGATATATGTTTATTTATTTAACTCATCACATCATGACTGAATTTTTACTTTTAATTTCCAGATTATGGTCTTCAATCCCGCAATCACTCAATACATTCAGACATTCTAATTGGGATTAAAAACGATAGTATTTGTGTAAATGATGAGATATTTGAGATATCACTAATGTATTTACCGAAATAAATATTGTTGTAAAAGTTCTGCTCTATCAATACTTTGTGTTTGACGAGTTGCAAAGTGATGCCAGTGTAGGGGACGTAATATTCGTAAAATGGCATATTCACACGTTGCCGAATTTGGTCACGATGGGGTACTGTTATCGCTTTTGAGTAATTGCTTTCGCTAGTAAATCTTAAATAGACGTTATGCACAACAAAAGCCTACTTAATGCGTCACAGTATTTCATGATAACAAAATAATCAACGAAGTTTAGTGACGTAGTCAACTAATGCACGAGTCTAAGCGTTGGTGTGATCATGTAAGAGCCTTTTGATACGAAATGATAACACAAGAAGAGTAATGTAGTTTTCTCTTTATTACCTAATGATACCCTTTGAGATAGTGGTGTTAAACGCAACATAATAATAACAGAGTATTTGTGATAAATGGGATATATGTTGCATTGTGTACTTGAAGTGCCTAGACTACTAATACAAGTCGTGTGCACATAGAACCTACGTTTGCTAGGTTATGTTTCGTTACTACAGTACGAGCACATGTTTGACGGCTACTCTCTTAACAATCTTGAATATTAATCTTATACGCAACTGAAACACTTTACACAAGGCTTGATGACGCATCGAGGAAGTAATGATAGTTTAAGACTGATGCATTTCACATAAGTATTAATACGCTGCCTATCATTCTCGTTAACTCTGCAATGTCCTCAAAATGATAAGTGAAATAGACAAAGTTAGTCGACATAAATGCATATATTTGTAAGGAAACAATAATCAATCAAGTTAAAAATGACTCAGAATGAAAGAGTACATATATACACTGAAAAGAGTTAATAACAATCCATTGAAAAAATCGCAGTTGTAGAGTTTTTATAGCTGCATCATAGTCATCATAAAGTCTCTATCCGCAACATGTGTCAGTTTGCCTCCGTTGTTAGTGGTGTTGGACCAGTCTTTGCAGTTTTCGTCACCACCAGTTTCGTTCGCAGAAACTGGATGTGAACTTTCCAAGCAGAGATTGAGATTGTATTCCTTCGAATGCCTTCGGCCGTATTGAGAAATATCTGAAGATGTATACATATCAGGTAAATTAATCTTACCTTTGGTGAACAATTCCTAATCTTAGCCACAGTGAATATGTGAACCAGGCAAGGAACAACCACAGAGTTGGTGAAATTCTATATATTAGTTGCCCATATATTCCACGGTAGATTTCAGGAATCGTGTAACTTCCAAATCACCTGTCACACTTTCTCTTCCATAAAAAGCAAATATTATACAAGTGACTCCTATCCATCCGTTACAACTAACTAAAAGAGATAAAATCTTCAAACTTTGCACTTCTCCGATTAAGTTATCCAGTAGTATTCTCCTTGTTAGTGGATCTAATGCTTCTTACATCTGTGAAATTTATAAGCATGTTAACTTGTTCCCTTAAGCTAAAAAATATAATGTCTATCCGCTTTTATTATTGCTATTTCAAAGCCCGCCTCAGTACCGTAAGGCACGTATTAGCCGCAACGTTTATGCAAGGGAAAATCTACCAATCACAGTGTGCGTAAGTGACCTTCAAGTGCTCAGCCTCTCCAGAAGCCATTTGTTCCGCTATCCTTTCTCATCCTTTCTCTCACCTATAAGTAAGGCAACATTGAAAAGTGGTTACATTAAATAACGTTCCTGCATATATTCCAAGAAAAGCCTCCATTTTCTCATAGGAGTCCTCATAGGTAGGCTAAATGAATGTCTGTGCGTAAGTTCGTTTAGATTCACTAATGTCATCGTGTTTAGTCACCCGAATTTCACGCAAATCACGTTTTTAAGTACTGTTAGGGCAGTGTTTTGATAGTTTGTTAGGGCTAAGGTAGGTACAAATTTTAGGATCAGGGTTATAAAGGCAAGTCTGGCATCGCGCGATCGCCAGAAAGAAGTTAGTATTTGATTGTCTGAAAGCATATTGATCCTGTTAGCCAGCTTTGGGACAATTTTGAGACATTTGGGTTATTTCCATGGCTTTAGGAAAAGTGATGATTTTTTAGTGCATTACTTCCAAATTTTCAGGTTAAACTATTCCAAAAGATTACCGCAAACCTTCCCAAACCCTTTTACTTCCGAATCTCGTCATCACGGCATTAGGTGATTTGTTTTATTCTCTTAAACCCTTTCTTTCCTTTCTTCCAAGTTTATCTTTAGGAACTACATCTCCTAGCCTCGAAACTTCTAAGGTGAATTACCAGTTAAGACTGCAGTCTTAGGCGTACGCCTCATCTGTCCAGGTAGACTTGTGTTTTCGTCATAGTCTGCCGTCTGTTTGGTCTGGTTTACCCTAGATCAGCGGCTGGGCATCACCTACCCCCGCCTAGAGATATACTAGTTTAATTACACCCGTTAAAGGACGTCATTAGGTTGTTGAAATTATGACAAATTATAAAATGCTTCCACTACACACTGCATAGTGCAATTTTTATGTTATTATTCCCTTAGGTTCCGGAGGTGAGATAAGGCTTCAATGACATCGCCACTTGCACCTACTTTCTGCTATCCACTTCACATGGGTCCACGATTGCCCATGATGTGTGTCGTTAGCACGGCGTTTATGACTCTCGCCAACCATGCACAATGTCTGGGGTTCGATGCCCAGACGACGCACACTTGATATCTATGGTCAGCTCTGTAAAATTCGGGCTACCGATATCACATGCTAAACATTCCATACCTTACCAAAAAATACGGTGTGGAATCAAGCTGTAATCAAAAATAAAAATAAATCTCTCATCTCTTCGCAGGACCTCCATGTCACCGTACCGACGACCCACTCGTCGCTTCCCATTTGGATTGTACTCGAGGGTCTGGCGCGCGATGTCATTCGACAGTCTCCTCAGCATGTGCCCAATCCATCTTCTCCTACATATTTGTTAAGCGATGGAATCTTTGTTAGTTTGTTCCCGGCGGGCCAGAGTTTCTTCTTGCTAATTCTTTCTGGCCAGCCGGCCATTCAATCTTCAGTATGGGGCTAGCGAAGGGGGGGGTTGTTGATAAAAGTCTATAAATGTTGGGAATACTTTTCATGACACACATTGCAAGTTTCTGACCCATATAGAAGAACAGACTTCACATTTGTGTTGAAAATCCGAATCTTTTTTTAAAATGTTGGATGCAGATTTGTAAACTGGTTTCAGGCTGATGAAGGCGTATCTTGCCTTTCCGATTCTGACCAGCTTTGACATCTTCATCCGTCCCACTTGTGATTGAAACCGTGCTTCCTATCGGGATAAGTGAAGAAAGTAACCTCTGTTGTCTCCCATTAATGGTGATTAGTGCCGGTTGTTGCTGTTGGTGGTTGGTTATCTTCACGACCTCTGTCTTCTCGATGTTCACCTGAAATCCTGTCTTCGATGCCTGACAGCCTCTCCAGCCAGTTTTTTGGTTTTCTTCCGCAAGTCTTAGATTTTGTGTGACATAAGCCATAATTTGTCTGCGAAATCCAGATCTTCTGGAGTCTTCTTGTCGGTCGTCCAGCGTATTCCTGGCACCTCGCTCCCCACAGTCCACCACAATTAAAAATATCATCGGCGATAATAGGCAGGCAGCCTTGCCTTTCTCTTGTATTCACTTCGAACGCCTCTCTGAGTTTTCCGTTGTGGATCACCTGACGTGTGGCATCGTCGTATAGCCCTTTGTTGAATGAGGTTGATAAAGACTCAGACACTGCACGCTGTAGTGTTGAAGTAGTTTCCAATTTACTTCCTGGTCAACGCTGTCTGGCGAAGTCCTCTGCGAAGTGGATGAAGTTGAGGTAGAGGTTTGACTGCCATTCTATGCTTTGTTCGATGACTATGGGTAGAGTTGCAACTTGATGAGCACATGATTTGCCTTTCCTGAATCCAGCCAGCACCATCCTAGAATAAAAAGGTTATTCTAGGATGGTGGAGTTCGGAACGTAGTGTGTCTTTTATTCTCTCCAGGATGACGCGACTCAGTATTTTACTTGGCGTTGAGAAGAGCATGATACCACGCCAGTTCTTGCACAGGCCTGACGAGGTCGCCCTTTATTAGTATCTTGACAAGGTAGCTAGCCTTTTCAATCTGTAGGCACCACTCCTGCCTTCCAAACGTTCCGCAATAATGGCGTGAGCAAAGCTACCACAGTCTCTGGGTCCAATTTCATTGCTTTGGAGGGAATTTCGTCTGGCTCTCCTGCCTTCCTTGACCCTAGTAGCGTGATCGCACTCAAGAATATTGCCTTAGTTGGAGGATTAGTGTCCACTGGCAGGCAGTCCTGTACGTGCTGTCGGTGGCGGTTTATTTCTGGGAGAGTTGTAGGCGATGGACGATTCAACAGTCTCACTGTGACCGATGTAGTATTTATTGAAGCTCGCACAAGTTATGTTATGTGGTATCAGTTTTATGTTCTTTTTTGTTGGGTCATTTGATTTGCACAATATCGAATGAAGTGACCGTGCTGGCTGGCTTGTGTGCTATACCTATTTCAAACGGTCTTGACATTCTAGCTTTTATTTCAGAGATATTTTTTATATGTGGTAGAAAGAATTTTCTCGTGGTCTTTGATGGTGGTCTCTTACTGGTGTTATGACTCGATTTTAAACACTTTTTGGTGAAACTATCAGGATATCCATTCTTTTTGAAGACAGTTAGTAGGTATTTCTGCTCCATTCTCTTCAACACCGGAGTGCTACAAGGTGTTTGAACTCTTTCAAACAGTATCTGCACACAGTTTCTTTTGTGGGTAATTGGTTTATGCCTACTATAGTTGAGTATTTGGTCTGTGTGGGTTGATTTTCTATATATTTGGAACACAAATTAGCGGTGAAAAGACGTATATTCTTTCATATCAACAGATGTGGATGATTATGGACATCCATGTGATTTGAGTAATGTAGAAATTTTAAATAGAGGGAACACGAAAACTGTATTCAGGGAAATTCTAGAAGCCTAGTACTCAATTGAATTGGCAATTAACAAACATTTCTATAGACCATGTTTACTAGCCAATAAAAAGTAAACCACATGAGAAAGGAGTTCAAACTCCAAGTCAATAAAAATGACTGATAGAGACGTAAAACCAATTACGACAATGGTTGCCAGGGGATACAATTATATCATTCATGGCGAATGCAAATAAGTTCATTTTATACTGAGACCTCAGCTGAAGATGTCTGGAAGGACAACGAAAACTCCACAATTAGATCGACCAGCTCAGGGGATACAATTATTTCAAAATCACTCACTTGAGCTGGAAAGCCTCTGTACTTTTTCCAATATCTGAAGTAGTGTATATTTCTTATCTGTATAGTAGTCGCAGTTCTGCACATGTTTAAGTTTCATGCCGTAAAGTCGCGCGGGAAGTCTATCCTGGCTAAGAGTTCTAACAGCGACAGCTGCATTTTTCACTCTAGTTTATTTATATATAATAAACTTGTCCGCGAAACTATGGAAATAAGACTATACTACCGTATATAGAAAAGCCTTTTGTTTCCTTCAAGGAAGTGAGGAGAATTAACAGCTGGGAGATTGTAAGTGACAGCGTTCAGTCTTGTGCTTGAGCCAGGAGATTTTCGCAATGGCTGGTTCGTTAGACTTTGATTGTGTGTCTAGTTGATGATCGTTTAATTGAATATTTAAAACGAGTAAATTATAGTTCATAATTCTCCATAATTAGTGAAAAGTTTTATCCCAAGTGTGCGGTTTTTTCAGTAATCTGTGGTGTAATGCCTGTTTCTAACTGAAAGAATAATGACAGTGTCGAAATTTTACTACTGACTACTTTTCATCAAATGAACTGTAGTCAAGATTTGACAGAATAGTTCTAAAATATTTGGGCGCTGAGTGAGAAGTAGACATTTGTAGAAAATTATATTTGTAAAATCTCAGCGATATTGAAATGAGTAATTCCAACGTTTTAATATCGCTGAGATTTTACAAATATAATTTTTTACAAATGTCTACTTCTCACTCGGCGCCCAAATATTTTAGAACTATTCTGTCAAATCTTGACTACAGTTCATTTGATTTATTTTGCAATCGAATTAAATTAACAAAGAAACTGCAATTGACACAATCATCGTGTTTCCACTCTCCGTTGTCTGCAACAGAATGCGTATCCTAAATCCGTAGCTGTCCAGTCAACTGACAACTCCAGTAGGTCGAATAAATCAGCTCAATTTTCAGAAAGAAGACAAAGTAATAAGTTTGACAGGGTGCTTCAACTAAACTCTAATCCTAAACACCATAATTTTGAAGATACGTCTAATCATAAAGTTCTAGATACTAACAGTTTGAACAGACATGAAGGTATGATGTTAGCTGACGCATAGGAAATCCTGATTGATAAATAAGAATGGATATGTATCACTAACTAATAATACTTGGTCAAAGTTCCTGACTGTCTATATCTACTTATGGAGACGTTAAGACATTGTTTTACAACTGTTTATCCGCACACATACACACTGTGTTTAAAGTGTTTAACAAAGGTAGATCAATATTTGTAAGTCTGAGGTCAAATTTTGATCACAACTCATACAATTTTGGTCATTATACTTGTTAATACTTGTTTTATGAATCATGATTGAACAAAGTTTTCTGAAAACAAGAGATGTTCCTTTTACATATAAACCTCTGTTATGTTAATTTCGATTAATTTCCCTGAAGAAGTTCGGACCAGATTGCCAAACGAAACGTTGGAATTAATCATTTCAATATCACTGAGATTTTACAAATATAATTTTTTACAAATGCCTACTTTTCATGTCCATAAACGGTGGTTATGTGCAATTCGTTTTTAAAGATTGACTGGGTAGTTTTGATTTTCGGTGGATAAATTGGAAAGAATTATTCGATGTTAATCAATTAGTCATTGTTTATGACCATGAAAAGTAGTCATTAGTAAAATTTCGACACTGTCATTATTCTCTCAATTATAAACAGACGTCAGTTAATTAAATTACTCTGTTGCTTTGGCATGCAGTCTTCGTGGCATGGTTCTGAACATGAGAAGTTGAGTGTTTTGAGTGAATGTTCTGTAACAGATATTTTTTAACTTTCATAAAATCGTATTCCTCGATGTTTCGAGTGGAGCATAGGGCTTCAAGCTAGAGCTTTAAACTTTCGGTAGCGGTGGGTTGTTTCATTTTTACTGGGTGGGGTTGCTAGCCTCACGTCCAAGCTTACCTCTTAACCGGCCTTACTAGTGGCTTAGCGAGATTTAGGAGTGCGTTGGCCGAGAATCGAACCCCATACCACGTGAGTGGTTGGGGAACGTTCTACTGCTAAACCACCAACGCACAAACATATTTGCTTTCTGCCCTTGACTTTGCTCCTCTAGGTTGCAGTCAAAGTTCATCCAGCAAATAAGGTTAAACACACAAGCTAGCAATTACAACCATTAAAATTTCGTATAGTGTTTATTTTTTAATGTTTCTTATAACTCAGTCATATTTCCTAACTTTACTTTTGCTCGTCATTGAAGTATGGACTATGATCCCCATAGTTTTACGCCAAACATGTGGGTTGAAAGGTGGGAAAAGAATGAAACTGGTTGGCATTTAAATTTTGTACACCGGTATGTTTGCTTTTATAAAGCTATTGTGTGTACTTTTCTAATGATAATTTTGTGTCCATTATAGACTAGTTGTAGGTTTTTGAGGTATGAACCGATGCATCTGCGTCAATGTTAGATACTGAAATTTTGAAGCATGAATGGTGTATTTTATTCATCAACAGTACTGAATCCGATGGAGTGACTCCTAATATCACCGTTGGGTGGTACCAGTAGATCGTAATAACCCTTTCTGTGTTCGTCCTCAAGTGTTATCGAATATTAAGCGATTACCCTCAAATAATAAGCGTCAGTTCACTGAGTTAGAGATGTATAGGTTTTTTCAACCCTACTTGAACAATAAACTTTGATTAGTTGCTATCTGCTATCAACATCTGCTATAAAACGGAATGAATTATTTGAAAACGTTGAACTTTGCCCAAAGTTGCGTCAGTTCAAAATTGCCCCACTTGTTTTGATTAAGTTGATTGTTAAATGCACTCATCGATATATTAGTCAATTTTCTAAACCTAGATGGATGGGATAAGTTTAAACTTGTCTCATACTTGAATTATTGTGTTGCAGTTTATACCACTTAAGTCTGCACCTGTAATTATTCTCTGAATGTCAAACTTTGTTTTCCTAAAGCATTAACCACTAGCTGTGTATCAGGCGAATGAGTGATTTTTCAACTATAAAGACATGTAAGTAATCGATCTTCAAGGTTGTTCAATTTATATGGTGTTTTTGAATGTGGGGATGCAGTGCTTTTGATATGTTAGAATTCAGCTTGCATTTTGTCTGCACTATCTGAATGCTAACTGATTCCGGACTAGTATTTTATTCTGTTTCTAGTGAAATTAACAGAAATCGCCTGGGAAAAAATTCATATGATTAATATTGTAAGGCACTTTCGAATTGCATTTCGTTGATCATAAGTTCATTGACAAACTGCGAACCCCACAGAACGGTATATAACGCTAAAAACCTGTACGCACAAAAAGTGTCAAGGCTACTTTAAACAAGGGTGTGATACAAATGCATCGTGTTATATCGTGACACACTACTGTGGTTTTGGAATGTATTGACTTTGATATACATCTTTCAGCCATTGGGTCTATACTTCAGATCCTGCCTCAGCTACTTTAGTCATAGCAGCTGAGTATTATCAGTAAGCCTTCAAACAAAGTGGAGCACTTAAATGCCTGCAAATAGGTTGGGCTACCTATAATCACTTCTGCTGTTATTAGAAATGGATGTAGTGAAATCTAAATCATACCTGTTGATTGGAAAATGTCTCAGAAGACTTCTGAATGATGCCTTGGAGTTTGGAACGATGAGTTCTAAATTTTGGCTGCTTACCTTAAACACGGGATTTTCGACCGACGGGTTTGGGACTAGAATCGTAGCGATCTGCTTCAGTCTCAAAGATTTAGCATTATCATCCTTCACACAGTAAATGTGACTCATTGCCTGGTAAATGAAAAATGTCTTCCAGGTAACAGATGTGTAACTAACTAAGTTAGTTATAGTTTAAGTGAGATTACTGCTATTTACTAGAATGCAGGCAGACCAAGTCCCAAGTAGGATGAAATATGCGTTCCGAATCATCCAATAGCAGGATATAGCAAGTACAAACAAGGAGTAACGACTGCTTATTCAGAGTTGATGACTCTATGCCTAATCAACCGATGTAAGTAGCGTTTTCAAAGCTTACTTTTGTATTGGAGTGTTTTTTGAATGTCAATTTCTTGTTAGTTACGTGGACTTGGTCGGCAGTAACCACAGGAATTGTTCGGAAGTTATTTGACTATCACTAAGTAGCATGCATTCTGTATGAACTAGTGTGTTAATTATCGAATGTTGCTTTTGTCTTCCCTATATTCTTTACTTCTGCCATCGACCGTTATGCCTAGGGGAAATAAAGTAACTCAAGTTTCAACTACTTTTGTGCCTCATCTTACAAGAGTTGGATGTAGAAGCTATTGAGATTCTCTGAGTTCAGCCTATCAAATATAACTTAGTGGATGGATTCTCTCATCTGTTCTTTCAGTTACTTATTTCTCCGCACATAAAATCTTCGAATAAAGTAATTATTATAGTTACTGTCCATTGGCTTTTCTCACTCTTCCAAGTGGCAGCGTAATTATTACTGTCAGTTCATGAGAAACACTGTACTTCACCATAGGCACACTATTCACAAACCATCAATTCAAGCATAGGGGTGTTACTGCATTCCTGTTTTGCATTCAAATTCAAAAACAAGTACGCTACCGATCGTGGTGATTAATTGCACTATGATATTTCTTGTCTAGGAATAACCTTATTTGTTCACCTACCCAACTAAATTCCGTCTCTTAGGGAGTGTAATTTTTTCATGATTTTGTAGGCTTCATACTGATGAATTCAGACAGGCTTCAAAGTCAAATTCCTGCTGGTTGCAGTTTGCATAAGTGGTATATAGATGTGTTTATCAGTAACCCCACATTGATCACTTGGCAAAATATAATTATAATATAAATATATATATTTATATATAAATAATATAATATAATCAAAATATAATTAGCTGCAATGGTTGAAGCCTACTACTAAGTAATCGGTGTGTCATTCTGTTCAAATAATTATATTCTTGCATTAATTTAGTTTGGCTTAAAATAAATATCTATTTGGTAATCTATGTTTTACCTTGTGACCACTTTGAACATTGTCTAATTAGAAGCTTAACAACATTCTGGGATGAATTATGTCCGGACGACAATCCCAACAATCGGTTGTTTATTCCGCTTTGTGGGAAAACTGAAGATATGGAATGGCTGTATCAAAACAAATCATGCAAAATCATAGGATGTGATCTAGCTGAACTTCCTTTACGACAATTTGTTGATGAGCATAAATCGTTGGATATGAAGGAGTGTTTAGTTAAGTTTAAAAATGGCGAAGAGGTGCGGATGTTTCATGTAAGTTCCATCCAATATTCACTATAGGATAGTTTTGTTTCAGACTAGTGATAATCGCTTATGTTTGTATTGCTGCGATTTGTTTTCAATGGAGAGGTAAGTCATTTCTTAGTTATTTGTTGCATTATTATCCGATTCAATTGGGTAACTTTTATGGGATTTATGATTGCTTGTTGAACTATTGGAAACCAGGTAATACTAGACGAGTGATTTATTACAGTTATGGGCTTCTGACTAGTATTAATCTCACTCTTACTTTCATAATAAACAAATTTGTTCCCTTATGGTTTCGATTTCTAAATCTCTAAGCTGTACAGTTAGGCTGGTAGTGTTGACCGATGGGTCAGAATTTAGTCATCAGTGTTTTCTGACTTCATATTAAAGACATGGAATCAGTCATCTGATTTCTTAGACCGTAATTTATTTAACTGTTTTGAGAACTGGGGACTGTAGAGCTGATGTAGAGTGAATTGTGTGGGAATTCCAGCCATAAAGTAGTAATTTTTTTCTATTTTTGAAATAATCGGGTTTTCATTCACTGAGTCTGTTTCCCAGTTTAAATTTCCATAGACAAATTTATAGTATACCCTGAATTGCATTAAATTTTATATTTAAGGTATTCATGTAACGATGTAAAGCATTAACAGAAATGTATCATTTCGATAAATGATGTCGGCACTAGGAACATATTCAATGGGTAACTAACTTTCTTAATGTGTGTTTTTTTCATTTCTTTGTCTTCTGAGTACAAGTTTGAGTTTCAAAGTTTCACTAGTGGTGGTATTGTTTACTTACGGGTTGAACTAACCTCACGCCTAACCTTTCCTTTTTATCGAGCTTACTGTTGACCAAGCAAGGTTAAGGAGTGCTTCAGCTGGGAATCAAACCAGGACCAGCTGCGTGATTGACGAGCATTCAGTCATTAACCACCGTCGGTACTATAGTTTCTGTTTAATAAATATCTGTTTCCTAAAGGCGATACTTTTTAAGTGAGGATTTTAGTGAGAACTGAAACATATTATTACCTAGAGAGAAGAGTGTATTTCGATTTTTTGCCCCGCCCTCCCCATATTATCCGTCATCAAATCACTATTACAGTCTAAACTAGCACCATAATGCATTCACAATTGGCTACAGGATTTCGTTATCAGCTGACATCGGTTAGAGAACCATTGGAAAACCAGCTGAGAGTATTGGACAGCTGCTTCGTCAGTTCGGTTTTGGACTCTTCAACAGCACGCACCCGCGGGGTTGGAGCCCGAAACCTACTGGTTACAAGGCGAGTTCGTAAACCATTCAGTCACTGGGTCCCTATCCAATGGCTCATGAATTCCACCTTCTGCCAATTCACAGCATAGCGTGACTACTAGCCAATGTCTTCGGCGAGCATTTGTCCTCATACCTGATCTGTTGCACCTTACTGGTCACGATTACCCACTAGAACCCTAGGTAACTACCTACCTGAATAGGGTCAGTGGCTAGTGTGCATCTCATTGATACTTGCCTTGTGACGAGAAGGTCCTGGGTTCGAATCCCGGTTGGGTGCGTACTGTAAAGAGTCCCAAACTAGGACGAAACAGCTGTCCAGTAATCCCAGGTTTTCCAGTGGTTCTCTAACCGATGTAAGCTGATGATGAAATCCTCCAACCAGTCAATCAAATCCCTACAAACCAATACTTGAGCATTCAGAATTCTTGAATGAGAAGAGGTTAAAGTGCATCATATTTGAAGGTAAACGTACAAAAAACAGCAACAGCAATTTTCATTATATAACACTGATAATTTTCGTATTGCTATTTGAATTTGTTTGACTGTGTATAAACACCTGATGATATATCAGTATATTAACTTGTCTTTTTGCTTTTTCAATGTCCAGTGCTCCGGAAGAACCGTTTAATTTGATATGGGATCGAGGATCATTTGTTGCTCTTCCTCCAAACTTAAGGGCTGAGTAAGTTAGACATAGATAAGCAGATTTTCTATGATTCTGAATTTCATCTACTGTTCATCTAAAAATAGTGTTTTGTACCATTTGTTACATTTAGATTAAGTACATTTTTATAGAAACCCCAACCAATCTCTTAACATTGAATTAGAATTTTTAAGCGTGTATAGTGGGGTTTTTTCTACATAACTTGTAAGTTAACACAAATCTATGGAGTTCCTTATTTGCTAATTTTGAAGGGTCATTGGCCTAAGCACTCGACATTCAGCCACTCAGGTCATGGTTTCAAACCCAGCTCCGCATTCTGAGGTTCAGGCATCTAGGTAGTATCATTAGCACTCACTAAAACATCTGTGGTTTTTTGCCCGACGTGTATGGAAATGCAAGTGGTTATCGAGTCACATTTTCATTTCTGCATACAGCTACATCATGATAAAATATACGAAAACAGCAGAATGTGAAACAAACACACAAGTAATTATTTTCTTGAAAAATGCTTTATTTATGAATAAGAGCGCTAGTGACTTTTCACCATAGACTGAAAATTTGTTCTGTACCTGTTAAGGATGGGCAGTACAATTAGGCTTTTGACAAAACGTACATAGCAAATTTATATAAAAGCATGATGGCACTTTCAAAAGCAGTACAAAACGGTTCATTCTTACATACATATATACATACATACACACACACACACACTGTAGTCGCATTTCTTGAGTTACTTAGTGTTAAAATCTAGTCTTTAATGGATGATGATTGTAGCCACTGCGCGTAGCATCAAAATTAGAACAAATTAGCATGGAGACTTAATTCATAAGGAGAAAACGGTTTTATTTTTGTTCAGTGAAGAAATACCTCTTTCCAACAACTTCATTTTCAAACCAACTGTACAGTCGTATTTATATTACGGAAAAAGGTATTAAGTGGCACTAGAAACTGCTCAGTCAATATCGCACATATGATAAGAATAGCGATAATTAAAATGATGTACTAAGGGAGTGAGGCTGAAGTGGGTAAATTACAAAACTTTCAAAGACTATTAAATAAGTGAACTGGTATAAAGATTTTAAAACTGTTCGACTCCTGAGCTTCTTGTAAAATTTAACGGTTCTCACTCATCTATACTTTTCACTGTGGAAGAAGAGTTCAACTCCTCATTTCACTTCTTAGATGTGATGCTTGATAGAAGAGAGGACGGCGCTTTTAAAAGGTCGATCTACCGAAAGCCAACGTTTACAGGTCAATACACTAACTTCAACAATTGGGTACCTCTAGACAGGAAGAGAAATCTTATCGGTTCTCTGTGCTCCAGAATTCGGAAAATTTGCTCTGCAAATACGGTCGACTTAGAATTAGAAAGCCTTCGCACAACTCTCTTAAATAATGGATATCCTAGAAGATTTATCGACAGAAACACCAAGAAAGAAACCATTCTCGGCCAAATCACAGTGCTGAAGAAGACACTGTTCCTGAAATTATTAAAAGTTGCTTATCTAAATATATTAAAAGCTGTTTTTATGCAGCTGACTTACACCTAGTATTTACCAGCCGAAATATGATTTGACAATGCGTCAAGGACAAACAGCTCCTTATGTCCACTTCTAAGTGCATATGCTCATTCACATGCTCGTGTGGAGCTGATTACACTAGACGTTGTAAGCGTAATCTCCGTAAACGCCAAACACTAGCGGGTTTGGTTAATGAAAGGTGAGCAAAGGACGACAAAGTTTTCAATCTGTGAACACCTGCAATCAGGTTATTCAGCCTCACGTGATTTATCCTTCAAATCTAATCACTCCAAAAGCTTACATTTTCTCCACTTATGCTTAGCCGAAGCTTTAGCTATACATGGACATTACTGTATAACACTGTGAGACTTTATCAAAACAAAAATTTACCCATTATGGAATTATACTCTACCACAGTGCACAAGTTTTATTCTTATATAAATTATGTATTGAAAAACGTTTTGTCAAACACCTTTCTTTACCTTGGTCATAGTAATATTCTTTTATTTTATTCTATTTTACCAACTGAATTCATTCCACTTCACTTAATTTTCGTCGTCTTTATTGTTATCATCATCGTACTCTTAGTATTCCAGACAACACCTGACCTAAAATTTTAAAATCTTTATACCAGTTCACTTATTTAATAGTCTTTGAAAGTTTTGTAATTTACCCACTTCAGCCTCACTCCCTTAGTACATCATTTTAATTATCTCTATTCTTATCATATGTGCAATAGTGACTGAGCAGTTTCTAGTGTCACTTAATACCTTTTTCCGTAATATAAATACGACTGTACAGTTGGTTTGAAAATGAAGTTGTTGGAAAGAGGTATTTCTTCACTGAACGAAAAACTGTGTTTCTCGTTATGAAGAAATGGGTATATATCGCCATCAGAAACTTAATGTCAAGTATTCGAAAATTTTCTTTCTGGTACTGATCAATAACAGAGAATATTTATTAATTTTTCATAGTTTAATACTTTCGCTTGAAGTTAAATATGTGATTAGGTGGAGGAAAATCTTTTCCACTTAAGAGGTATTTAGTTAGCATGAAATGAAAACTAGCTCCGGCTAATAAACTAATCGAAATTTTGAAGTGCGTCAGGCAGGACCTGAAGCCGAACCTCCCGCATATCTGGTGAACATCCTGTTATTGAATCAATAATTCATGGAGTAAGCGTATAGTATCACCTTGACCTGGGTTATATTGTTTCGGTTAAGTATCGTTATTGATTTATTAGAAGGATAGAAATGCTTACTATCTTACTTCTTTCTCATTGCGGCCAGTACTTGGCGTCGATGACACAGCGGTTAGGACTCTCACCGACCATGCACATGGTCCGGGGTTCGATCTCCTGCCGACGTACACTTGATATCCATGGCTGGCCTGAAAAATTCGGGCTACCGATATCACACGTTGAAAATTTCATATTTGTATCAAAAATACGGCGTGGAATCAAGCTATAATCAATAATGATAATTTCATGGTGGATTATATACTACTGATTATACTACTGTTTGGTGCTGTTTCTAAGTAATGTTTAGTCAATAGTCTGTGAGTTAGGTAGTTAATCCTCTTTTCTAATGATTAGCACCCATAATAGATTGGAATATACTTGTTTTTCACTATTGAAGGAGTTTTCTTTTAACAGGACTCAACCACTTTTCTCTTGCTAAACTTATTTTGTGCACTTAGTAATGAGATGTTTTATTGTTGGTATTGGTGTTGTTTTTATAGCTATGTAGCTTTACTTACCAGATTATCTACTGCAAATGTTCGATGGTTACAAGAAAGTCTTAATTACCCACCTGGTCTTCACAATACTGCTCCATGCAGCTCAACTGAAGAGGAGATGAAATCATTATATGGTGAGATGATAGTTTAAATTTCAATTGTCAGATCTATCTCAATTAGTAATATTATGATTTTCAGCAGATTTTTTCTCAAAGACTGGTTTTCTCGTGTTTTTTTTTCAATAATTAGCTCATAAAGCAAAGCTCAGCTTCATTGATTATTAAGGCGCAGATATCTTGTGTTCATTTTAACTTTATGCTCTTTTGAACATTCATATTTGCCTTCTTTGTGTAAGTAATCTCAATTTTTGTGCACTTTAATTTTGATTGTCTTCGAAGTCATACACTGGTTGATTTTTGATGTCTATTAATGAATAAGAAAAGTCGTAAATTGATTGTAGATTGGTAGTCTTTGTATAGCTGATCAAAGTCAATTAGAGAATTCATTGCAAAAGTATCTTTATTCACCAATGTTCCTATTCATGAAACTGTTAATTTCATTTGCGATTACATCACAAGCAATGGGATAAACTTACCTATTCCTGTCACTTACATCAGAGACATCATCTTAATGCGTACAGAATATATTAGATTCTGTCTGTCTGTCTGTTTTCGACATAGAACTTTGCACAAATGTGCGGAAGTTCAAGTCGCCACATTCCGTGTAGCACGCGAAGCAAGAGAAGAAAGTACAAGAAAAGCATAATAGAAACAGTGAGCAGAGGTGTGAGACAAAGGAGTAATAACGAAGAACAAAACAGTTTCATTGGAGATCATAAGTCACAGGAGTGGATGCATCTGCGCCACTGAGAACGATTTTGAGCCATGTCACCAATTGTTTCCAACCATAGATTTTTACCGTCCCGAGGACCCCAGCCTGGAAGTCTACACCTTCCTACGTGGCTTAGACCAACTGTTGTGGATTTCATTGACTGGTGAGCCAAGTTTTTGTTTGACCGCCGCTAGCTTTTTTCCAGCCTGACCCTATATCCGCTAACATTGCTCGTCGAGGGAGGCGATGGCTTGGCATACGTAACACATGTCCTAACCATCTCAGTCTTTGTAGCTTCACGACTTCGTCGATTGATTTCCCCTGTTTACCTAGAACTCTACGCCTAACCTCAATGTTGCTCACCTTATTATGCCACTTTACACGGGAAATAGAACGCAGGCACCTATGATCAAAGACAGCTAGCTAGTCTTTTCATGTCTTCCACTCTCAGTGGCCAGGTCTCACAACCCATAAAGGAGGACGGAGCGGACTGATGAGCAGTACACCCGCCCTTTGGTCGATAGTCGAACATCTCGTCTACGCCAGAGTCGGCGTAAACTAACAAATGCGAAACGAGCCCCTTGTATTCGTGCTGAGATTTCGTCAGAGATCAGCCCGTTGGGGCTGGTGGTGGTACTTCCCAAATAAGTGAAGCGGTCAACGTGCTCTACCACTTCACTTCCTATTTTTAAACTAGGCGTCGATGTAGTCCAGTCCTGTAACATCATCTTGCATTTGGCGGGAGCGAATCGCATGCCAAACATTCGTAGATTGCGGCTCAAGGTGTTTAGAAGACTCTGCATTTCGTCAGCGTCTTCGCCTAGAAGGACTATATCGTCTGCATATTCCAAGTCAACGAGATTATTCCCCGGTAGCAAGTCAATCCCTGAGTCGCTGAAGTCACCTAGGGTTAAGTCCATTAACACATCTATGATGAAGTTGAATAGAAAAGGAGATAATGGGCATCCTTGACGGACACCACTGGTCGTCATCAGTTCAGATGACAGCTCGCCGTAAGCCCTCACCTGGCTGTATGAGTACGAGTAGAGTGCCTTAATCAGTGCAATATATTTTCTTGGAATTCCCTTTACAGCCAAGCATCTCCAGAGAACTTCCCGATCGACAGAGTCGAATGCTGCCTTTAGGTCAAGAAATATAATGACTGTTGGACGCCGGTAGGAATGCCTATGTTCTAGAATCTGTCGGAGGGTGAAGATATGATCAATACACCCTCTTCCTGGTCTAAAGCCTGCCTGGCTCTCTCGTGTTTGTGCTTCCCGAGCACCACTCAGTCTACGCATGATTATTGAGCCTAAGACTTTAGATACTATATTAGTCAAGCTAATCCCTCTGTGATTATCACAGGAAGACTTGTCTCCCTTCTTGTATATGGGGATAATCAGTGACTTACACCAACCCGATGGGACTTCTTCTGATTCCCAGACGCTGCCTAGTACCTCAGTTAATGCAGACAGTAAGCTGTCTCCACCGTACTTAAATACCTCTGGAGTCATTCCATCAGGTCCCGCTGCTTTGCCTAGTTTCAGATTGGTGACAGCTTTAGTAACCTCAGTTAGGGACGGAGGACCTGTGTCTATATCCCATTCAGGGAGGTGTTGGATGCTCGGAAGGTTGAGCGTGGCTGTGGGCAAATTAAACTGCTCCTCATAATGCTCTTTCCAACGATCCAGTCGTCTATCCTGGGAGCTAATTATAGTGCCATTTTTTTCCGAGATTGTCTCACTGATGATTTGTCTTCTCCCACCCGTTTCCCTGATGAGTCCAAAGAGTTGCCTGGTGTTGCCTATCCTCGAAGCTTTCTCCATCTCTTTGGCTTTTGTCGCCCACCACTGTTCACGGTCCTTGCGGAGACTTTTCGTAAGTTTCCTCTTGTGCAGCTTTCGCTCCTCATTGAATTCGGAGCTCGCCGGAATAAGTCTTCTAGCATCTATCAGTTCGGATGAGGCGGTGGAGATCCAGTGGTTTTTACTCACCTTTGGGTTTACCTTATTCACAGCTTTTACAGCTGTATCTATGGCTGCCTGGATATTTTTCCAAGCTTCTTCAGGGTGAGCACAGCTGTCGAACACAGATATGTGTTTAGCTAGTTCTTCCTGAAATACGGATTTAGTTTCCTGATCGAGCTGGGGACGTGATGGTTTTACCGCCAGCTGTTTCCTACGTCCGTTCAGTCGTAAGCCCACCCGGGCGCACGCACGCGAAACCTCTCTACTACAAATTAGATTCAGCTTCCAAGAAAAGGCATACAAACAAATCGATGATGTTGCGATGGAGAGCCCTTTTGGGTGGCTGTTAACAGATATATTCATGTCGAAATTGAAAAAACAAATGCAAGGTATGCTTGAAGAATTTGTGCTGTATAAACGTTATGTAGATGCTACTCTCATTACTGGTAATAATAGTAAATCTATTGAAAACTTTATTACCCTATTTAATCATATTCATCCAAATATCCGAGTGACTTCCGAACTCGAATCGAATAGCAAACTTGGTTTCCTCGATATTACAATGACCAGGAGAGATGATGGAACGATTCAGCGATCTATTTTTCGTAAACAGACATGGAGTGGACAATATCTTCATTTCATCAGTTTTGTTCCTATCCAGTATAAACGTTCCCTAGTGAAATGTTTGTTCTCAAGGGCCCAAAAAATATGCATGGGTGACACAGTGATGGATGGGTTTCGACAAATACATACAGTTTTATTAGCTAATGGTTATCCGGAAAACTTTATCACTTGTCACAGTAAAGAAGGACCACATCTCGTAAAGACAGCTTCTGTACCAAAGAAAGCTACCTTTATTAACCTACTAGTCAAGGGCGACCAGATTAAGCAGTTGACAGCCCAAATACTTCGGTCAGCCATCAAACCCGCATTCTACGTCGCCACATCTCTTTTTCTCACTTGCCGAACATTTTCGATCCCTGTACCTACGATTAAAGGACGAAATTCTGTGGACTCTACTTCAAACTGTATCTACAAGTTCACCTGCAGCTGCGGTGACACCTATATAAGTAGAACCAACAGAATGTTCCAATGTCATCGAAAAGAACGTGTTCCAAAATGGCTACTAAATCATATAGAAAATCCCAACGCGATTAATCTCAATAGAAATCCAGCATCATCCATTGCAAAATACTCATTAATGTCAGGTCACAAAATCAGTAGTAATGACTGTTTCACAATTATGTCACATTACTCTAATTCAGGGTTATTGGAGGTGATGGAAGCACTTTGGATTAATCACATAGAGCCTAAACTGTGTGTACAAAAAACAATAAACTTCAATCTTCGCCTACCATGGACTACATGACCTATTTAAATAAGATCGGTCATTAGTATGTACTTTTGGTTTTGTATTTAACTGAGTAATTGTCATGAAATTTATTTTATTATTGTTAACCAATGTTAGTTGTAAAGCGGTTGTAAAGAAACTACGAAATGATATCATCTCGCGAAATCTGTCTTCTAAATGTCTTATGCAAAAGTATTTGTTTTTTTATTTTAACTTATGGACTATTGATTAAACCGATAGTCAGTGGAATCAGGTACTCATCATTTGTGAAGATTATTCATTCATTTTTTCCAAGGTTCATTCCATCTTGAACATAAAGTGGTGATTGTGTCACTCCACTGATACGTACATATAATTTATTCCTTTCCTCAAAAACAAATGAATAGATAGTTACTAACATAGTATCAAAGTTTCTACAAATTATTAACTATATTCAAGCGTTGATTTGTATGGATTTGATTTTTTTTCCACGTTCGACCATGGGCTAATATCAATTAGAGAACCATTGAAAACCAGGGAGTGAGTACTGGATAGGTGTTTCATTCTAGTTTGGGATTCATTGACAGTGCGTGCTCATTGGGTTTCGAACCCAGGACCTCCCGGTTACAAGGCAGGCTCGTATACCATTCAGCAACTGGAACCTAACTCAACGGCCCATGAATTCGTGATTTTAATGTTACCACCAGCCAATGTCATCACTGGCGAGCATTTGTCCCCACTCCCGACAGGATGGGACCCCACTGGTCATTACTTCCCGCTAGAACTCCAGGAAACTCCGTCCTTAGGCAGCTACACACATCTTTTCCAAATCAGCAGTTCTTGAAGAAACTGAGTGTATACTGATTTATTTTCCCCGACCAAAAGCTGCTACCTTGACGTGGTGGTCGGGCTTGAACACCGAAATGACCTAATCAAGCTATACTGGCTGAGACTTATGTCTCTTGAGGTCCTAGCATGCCAGAAAAGTTGTTTGGATAGCGGTTAGACAAAAAGCAGCTACCCAATCCAACATTATGATACATAGAAACTCAAAAAATATCATGTCGGATCGGCCGGGGCCCGGATTAACAACGACCGCGCTTCCTGCTGCCGTGTCACAGGGCAGGAGTGATAAATATGCTACTGAGACACACCAAACAATAAAGAACGAACAAAAACAGGCCGCGTGTCACCTGGGCTCTGCGGTCACGCAACCAACTTCCACGGTGTGGGCAGCCGGGAAGTAACAATCGACCTCACAATCCGAGACAGATTTATTTTCCACCATCAGTAAGCCTATTTCTTTTTTTTTTGCATTCAGTGATATAAGTATTCTTGTGTTCTGTTTCTAGTTGTGTATAACAGTAAATTATCTTATCGATGAAGACGTATCAAAGTCCACAGATAATACCAGATGCTTATTTTATTTCACCGAAAATACCCATTAGTTCATGAAGAAAATAAAAGACAAATTCAGAGAAATTTTCTTTATCGACGAAATCATCTTCAGGGGCCGTACAATCGTATTTATATTTACCAGAAATGTATATTAGTCTATTATTTAGTAATACGGGGTGACATAATTGATATAATTATTCAGAAGTGGCTTTAGAAGTAAAAAGTAAAAGTTGTAAATTACGTAGTACTCAATGACACAAAGTTAGAAATTTGATAAGGTAAAAATTGCTACTGAGTGAGAATAAAGGTAGGTGAGCGTCAGTTTAACAAGTGTGAAAATGTGCAAAAGGAACATATGCGAGTGATAATAGTAAATTATTATTCAAGTAAAAGCAAACTAAAAGTACAATTGAAAATTAAGAAATTGAAATTTTTTTTCAATGAACGACTAGTGAGAAGGTTAAGACCAAGGTAGAATAAGAGACTGGACAAAATTTTTCTGTATGCAGAGTTCGGGGTTGTATTGACGAATTACCAGCGCCTCCGCCATACACAAATGCTGAAACCTGACGCCCTTTGTACCATTTGGCCTCACCTTGTAGATGATTTTAAAAGACGATTCTGGTGGAGCTACATAGTTTGAGTTCACCAAGTGCTCGAGAATTGAGCTAGTAATTGTCTTGCATTGTCCTTTTGCTAACCATACCGGATAATGTTCAGAGATGCGTTTGGAAAGTGTGCGCTTTGTTCGGCCAATATAACTAGCTCCACACGAGCAGGTGAATTTATAAATACACATTAAAGTGGCCTAAAGCGGCAGTTTGTCCTTCACACATCCATTGATCATTTGTCGGCTGTAGGAATTGATCCGTATCTCAGCTGTAAAGAATGCTTTCCTCAGTGATCTGCGCAAGCGATTCTTCAGGATCTCAGCTGCAACATCACTTTTAAATTCAACGCTCATAAATAGCAGTTTCTTCTGCACTCTCTGGGTTCTTTCAGGCTTTTGCTTTAACTTCATGTTTTTCTGGATAAATCTTGGGGGATATCCATTCTCTTCGAGGATTGTCTGAGTCGCTCCAATTCCCCGTTGATTATATCACCGGGACATATCCTTCTTATTCTTGAGGATAAGGAGTGGATCGGGTTTCTCTTTCTTCTCAAAGAGACCCAACTATGAAGGTTCGTGTACTGACCATTCCTAGTTGGTTTCCTGTAGATCAATCTTTCAAGAGAACCATCAGATCTTTTTAGAAAAACATTCACAAAATGGTAATCAGAGTTCATCTGTGATTCCGACGTGAATTGGATGGCCTGATGGCAGCTGTTGACCTCTTTGCCTATCAATTCGATATAGGTATTCTCGTCACATATTTTTTTTACTTCTAAAGCCACTTCTGAGTAATTATATCAATTATGTCACCCCGTATTACTAAATAATAGACTACTATACATTTCTGGTAAATATAAATATGATTGTACGGCCTCTGAAGATGATTTCGTCGATAAAGAAAATTTTCTTCGCTGAATTTGGCTTATTTTATTTTTTTTTCGTGAATGATAAGTCTCCTCCAGTTTCTTGTTCAAACTTACGCTAAAAGTTTTCAAGTTGTGCATAAATTCATTATCGTCAGATGGTGCCTTTCTCGACGGGCAGTGTTAGCTGATATAGGGTCAGTCTGGAAAAGATCCAGCGGAGGTCAAACAGTTAGTCTAAGCCACGTAGGAAGGTGTAGACTTCCTGGCTGGAGTTCCAGGGATGGTAAAAACCAATGGCTGGAAACAATTGGTGATATGGCTCAAAATCGTTCTCAGTGGCTAGCGCAGATGCATCCACTCCTTGTGACTTATGATTTCCAATGAAACTATTTTGTTCTTCTTTATTACTATTCCTTTGTCTCACACCTCTGCTCACTGTCTCTAATATGCATTTCTTCTACCTTCTTCTCTTGCTTTGTATGCTACATGGAATGTGGTGACTTGAACTTCCGCACATATGTGCAAAGTTCTATGTCGTAAACAGACAGTAGCTCAGTGACTGTGAGTTCTTAGTTCGGATTTCTCCCTCACCTACCTTAGTCTGATCCCCTGTGTGGTATCATCAAATGCAGTGATAATTGCAGCTTATAGTCTGATGCATGAAACCTGTACTCTGACTGTAGTGTCTTATCGTTCAAATTGGAGTATAAAGCGATAGAATATACTGGCCTTTTTAAAATAAATGTATAACTACTAGATCTATGAGTGTTCATATCTACTGTTCAGTGTTTAACATCTTTTACGATTACGATTAGCATTCTCCAGTATATTCCATCATTGTGTTATACTCAATATACCACCCGATTATATTTTCTATTGATTTTCTTTTACACAGATAAAAACTACAATATGAAGTTGTTGAGATATGAAGATGTTAAATCTCATATTTTCCCAAATGCAGAATATTGGTATGTGCGCTTATTACTACTTACTAAAAAACACTCGTGCTAAAAGCTTGTCAACTAAAGGCATTCTAATTACATATATATCCATATATGAGAGAATAAACAGTCATTTTAAATTGCGTAAAATGCCTTTTTTTCAACTGTCTGCGTGTATGAGCGTATTCACATCTTTTTTACTTTAAATAGTGTTGAATGCGGCGCGTAAGACAGTAAAACTCTGTAATGTTGTATGGGATATTGTGTCATTCCCTTTTACACTGAGTTGTTCTGCGTTACGTCTTTTAATTTTCTATGAGTTTACGTCTTAGCCTTCTTATTATTTCACTACTCACCGTGTGTGTGTGAATCTTTTAGCGGTATCGAAAAACTTTGTCTTCACTTTTAGTTATTCATTATTATTATTATTATTATTTATGTCTTCTAAATGTATTTGATATGTGTGTGATGTGAATTCACAATAAATTCGAAATAATTCAGAACAACTTATCTGTCTGTGCTGTTCTCTCCTTTTTTAGGCTTTTTTTTAGAATATTAAGCTCTAAATCTGGAAGACATTTGGAATATCTAAATTTATAGGAGAAATTCACTAGAATTCTAGTAGTCAGTTAAAAAGCATATTATTTATTATTACCTCCTTTAATTCCTAGAGGAACATAGGGCTTCAGCCAAACGTCTCCATTTCGTTCGGTTCTCTGCCAACGTTTTCACCCCACTCCAAGTTTGCCCACATGTTTTCATCTCCTCTTCACATGACCTCCTCCAAGTCACCGTTGGATGACCAACTCGTCGCTCCCCTTTCAGGTTCCACTCGAGCGATAGCTTGTCTGGGGATGTCACTTCATGGACTGTTTTCTCAGAGTATGGCCAGCCAATCCATCTCCATTTCTTCCTGCCTATTTGTTTCACAATCGGTTCCTGCTGAGTTGGTTCGCTCATTGCCAAAGATCCCTGTTTCTGATCTTTTCTGACCGGCCATCTGACCTTGAGCGGAGTATTGACCGAAGACAACTGTTAATGTAGGTCTGAAGTTTGTTTGAGGTGCTCTTTATGACGCGCCAAGTCTCTGATCTGTATAGTGAGTAGCACTGACTTCACATTGGAGTCAAAAATCCGGATCTTATTTTTGATGCTGAGTGCTGTTGACCTCCACACAGACTTGAGAGTAATTAAAGCCTGTCTCGCTTTTCTGATTCTTGCTTTGATATCCTTGTCGGTTCCGCCCGCCTGTAGTTGAAACGATGCTTCCCAGGTAGGTAGGTGAAGGAGGTTGTTTCTTTCAGGTTCCTTCCTTTTATGCTGATTGCTGGTGTTGGCCAGGAATCTTCATCACCTCTGTTTTCTCTGTGTTCACCTGAAGTCCTATCTTCTCTGGATGCTTCTTCTGCCGACTTGTTGCTTTTCATATGCATATTTCCCAGTTTGTGGGGAGTCAGACATATACCATCGGCGAAGTCCAGATCCTCCAGGTTGTTTTTTGTGTGAGTCCATTTTATGCCTGTTTCCTCATTGGCCGTTGTCTGTCGCATTATCCAATCTACTGCAATTAGGAAAATCACTGGCGATAGTAGACAGCCTTGCCTGTTTAATCCTAAACAGGATGATATACGATTTCATTTCATTTTATGGTTTCTCACTAGCCTAAAACAACTTTAAAATCAAAGCATAAAAGTGAATTTATATTCTTGAATCACTTCGACAAAAATGCCATCTACTTGTAGTAGATGATAACCTATTTGAAATCAGGGAAGTTTAGCAGTTTATAAGGCTGTTCATACGTTTTGGGAGCAGAAAATGAGGTTGAATGAAAAAAGAATAATGTTTCTTTATTCATTAAGTGTAGACAATTGTAGGATTTGTTATAGGCAAAAAGAGATAAGATAGGCAGAATTAAGATATTTTAGGTTCCTATACAAAGTAATAATCAAGTGATGTTATGGTTTACAAAATGTTTCCTGGGACAACTGTGAAAAAGAAGTATTCTACAATATGGAAGGAATAATTAGGTATCATTTAGGCATTAGCTGGTCAGACCTGTTACCTGCTTATTCGTCGGTTCTGTATTACTACTGATGACATGCTTTTACGGTTGTCGAGGTCAGTAACAACAGTATGCTCATACAATTATTCCCATGACAAATTTGAACAACGCAATAAGATACATTTTTGCATGAGAAGTTGAATTCGTTTCATTTCATAGTAACCTTAATAACAACATAAACTAAATCAGCAATGAAAGTGAAATGATTTGAACATATTCTAACTGAATAGCCGGTTCATTTCATAAGAGTAGAATATCATGACGAAAATGGGGACGAAGTACATACTATACAAGAGGTAGGAATAGTCAAATTAGAGACCTTATATATTGTACAGAGAAGAATTTCCTGTTATTTAATGGTAATACATACACAAGTGTAGGTAGCAACACAGTCACGTGCGAAGCTATCCAAACGAAATGAAAGAGTTCAGGGCCATGAAGATATTAGGAATTATTAAGGAAGTGAATGGATTTAACTGTTGAGTCACATCATAAAAATAAAATTTTGACATGTTAGGCTGAAAGAGTCAGTGCTTATCAAAATAGAGACAAGTTGGTAACAGTTTCCTTTTGCACAAATAATCAGAGTCTTATTCATCGGATGGTCAGAATTAGAAGTGGTCATGAAGTGCTTCGTCTGTTCGCCACCTTAAGATATTCCAATAGGTTGTTCTGGTGTCTTGTATTATCCAGGTGAAGAGCTATGGCGCTATTAAATGCCACTGGACCTCTGAGACGTAAACTTCTAGGTACATATTCAAAATTCCTCGTAGTCAGTTCTAGTGTAAAACCTTTGTTTGTATGAAGAGAGGCTTTTATCGAAAATATGAAATAATTAGTCCCTTTTATAAATTTGGATATTTTTTTTAGAAGACGGAGATTTGGTTGGTTTTGTGCAGTAGATTCTGCACAATCTGATCCTTCATAGAGTTACTTGTCAAGTCAGTCTTTATGAAAACTAGAGCCAAATGAAAACACACAAACTGACATAAAGTTATAAAGAATAAGAATAATTGACACTTCGTTTGGTTATCAGTTTCGCAGAGTTCATCTGTTTTCCTAACCACTTCGGAATATGCTCTATCACCCTCATATGCGAAGTGCGAATACTCCTCCCTTTGTATGTGTCCACACACGTAAGTTTAAAAGAACACCATATAATTTTCCAGACCGTAGATGTTACGAATTTCCTGAAATAATTTGAGTGGCGAATCACTACAAATTATTTAATATTATCCCAGCGTGTTTAAGAAAGAATCAAAAGAAGATTTTTCTGAATGTTTCGTTGTGTAAGCCATAGCTTCTTCAGCAGAATTATTCGTAAAAGGAAACCGCTTCCATGCACTATTAAATTGTTAGATGAGCTTTTCACCCTAAAGTATGAAGTAGTATCTGACAAAGTGAAGTTGGAATTTCACGAATCTTGTCTTTCACATCGCATGTTCCCGAAGACAGTTTACAAATCTCTTCGATCCTCTAAACTGCGACCAAACTGTCCAAATTTTATTCGTCTAATCAAGTCTCATACTGACAATTCCTGCGAGTAGTTGTGCGGAATAACAGAACTCCATTTATTACCTTCAAATATATTGTCTGATTTTTCCAAATTTGCCGTTAATGAAACCCAAGGAGAATACTAGAATGACTGCTTCGATCTAGTACCAAAGACTATCGGTTAGACTTACTTCCATTTAGGGTTTATTTATAAAAATATTCAAGAGTGCTTATTAAAATACGCTGAGGTGATAGCTTGAAGTCACCCATTTTATTATTCATAATAGTATCATACTTTCACTGTGTAATTGGACTTTGATTTGTTTATCACTCTAAAGATTGCGTGTTAAAAATTGATGGATTGTACTCGCTCAGCTTTTTAATTTTGACTACTGTGGGAATACACTTTCGTACTTCTTCTCAAGTGCCTTTTGATTAACGTTGTGGATGTCGAGTAATCGCAACGTTCGGTAACAATCTGCCAGCTGGTCATTCAATGGAGCACATCAAGAAATACAGCAGATGGTTCTTCTGAAAGGTAACACTGCCTATGGTTAGTACCACCTTTCTGTCAAAAAGTAGCTTCAACGAAACACCTACATTCCTGCCGCATGAGCCGTATCAGTCCTAATAATAATTCATTTTCAGATCACTAAGGTATTCTGAGCTCCTCCAGGAATTACCTATGGCTATGAAGGATATAGAAGTTGTATTTATAACTCATATTTTTAACCATTTATTATTAAGTAGCTTGTCTAGAGGGACTTGCTAATGTTTAGGTTACAATGCTTGACTATATGTATTTACTGCATTTTACTGTCCGTGAAGGGAAAGTCTATAGAAATGAACACGAAATCAAGCTTTCAATAAAAATTATTAGGAATACTGCGAATTGTTGATGAGAAGCTGAGTCAAGGAAAATACTCTGAACGGATATATACAAGTGTTACTCCATTTCCATGGTTACTGTCTTATAGATGTGTGGACCATATTTCAAAGTTCAGAATGACGCCAAAACATGAGATAGTCATTTGCTTGGTGCTATACTTGACTAGGAGGAGAATTTATGTGATAGTGGAAATCACGGAGGAATGCTGTCATGAGTACAGAGTGAGAATTTGTCAGGGTCCAGTAACGTCAGTCAACCTGGTCACAGCAATTCAACACTGTCAAAATGATTATGGCACACAACTGAGTATGGACTTTTGCTTGTTATTACTTTTCATTTAATGTGCCTAAAGTTTTGTTTACCATACATTTCTTATCCCATTTGAATGAAAATAAATTTGCTACCATGGAGGCTTGACTTATCAATGAGATCAGAGAAAGTAATTGGTGGCATAATTTGATTTAAGTGAAATGTCGTTACGATAGCTACAACTCCATCTAATCAATTATTCGTCTCATGTAGACTTCATTTGGAATTACACTTTAACACCCGTATTTGTACGGATTGACATTACGCTGTAAG